TGTCGAAGAAACGTCTTGATAAAATCACAAACTAAAAGTCGTTGCGGTCGAATGAAACACTCAGTGTAATCAGTTTGGGAATTCATAAATCGTTAGTTGACATTACTAAAAAATTTCAAGATGAGATGCAATATCTATCCAGTGTAACTTGTTTTCATTGATTCCACCATACAATGTCAGTTCATAGTGTAAACAATTTGAAAACCTTCTATTTTTGAATATAACATATCGTAGACTGATACCAATTGAAGTACTACTGATCCTTGGATATCTGTTTATCTTCATGATCCCATAAGAGATCAAATCTATGACCTATAGGTTTCAAAATAAGAATGAGACATTTAGACCACTGATTAAAGGTGATGTATTTCAGCTTCGCTCTTAACTTTTTCCAACTCGATAAAACCATACAAAACACATTTCAGAGAACTCTAAAATTGATGTATTTATTTTTATCATTTGTCTATTATTCTAGTTGAGGAGTAATTCCAAACTTTGGATACCTTGTTGATCACCGAATGCTTGTGTTGAAGTTTCTATGTTATCCTTTTGTGATTTCTTGAATTATAGTTATGAAAAATCACAAACTTAGGAAAAGATTATTTGCATTATAAACAGTTACCATAATGAATTTTTTGGTGAAAATATGGTTTTTTCAGCTGCTCATCTTTTCCTGATCTTTCAGCCTTTGATTAGCTTCCTTATGATTATCATTTGTTACTTTACATTCCTTCACATCAAAATTCCATTTCCTAAGTATGATTATCGACCCGAGCCAGTTCGTAAGAAAAAAAGGAATGCTCATTCATATTTTACTTCATTCACTATGGTACGTACATTCTCTTCATAGTTCACTATTTTCAGTATAAATGGTATGTACAATGATTATTGGTTTAATGATAATGTGTTTTGAACTATATTATCAACAATGTCATCATCAGAAATAATAAAGAATGACCGTAGACTAGTAGTGTTGATAAACATCATCTGATATCTTCAAGGACAACATAGCGTTGTTGGAGCAACCCATTAAAATTACAATGTTGTATGTTACTTTAGATTTTACCAGATGATATTTGAAGAAAAAAAATTAAATCGTCCAGTTGTTATTGGTTAACACAACAATCTGCTTTCATAATAAAAACGCATACCTACGTCATATCTAGATTTTTATTGACCCAGATTTTGTCCAAATGTAAAATCATGAAGAGTAATACATGTGGGAATAAGTGAACCCGATTACGACTGCCAGTTAAAAATAAATTTTCCACAGTGCACATTACATTAACGTGATTTTATTACCTCTGTTATTATTATTACTACCCCAAGTACTGATAATTAGATTTAAAAGTTCGCTTGTTCAGTGTTACTCATCATCATTCACAGATGTAAAGCTTTTTAAATTAACGGTGAAGATTTGTAGCTCAACTAGATGCTTTTAGTAATATTCCATTCCCCGCATGAGGTAGGAGCTCATGATTCTGAACAGAACGATGATGAAAGCGCCCCAATTAAACCATCTAGTTCAGAAAAAACAACACAAACAGAATACTGTTTCGAAGCTGAATATTATAGCTTCTATCGGATACATAAAATGTGGTTAGCAGTGGTATCTAGAATACGAGTTTCGCTATATTTGGGACTCCACAGTTGGATGCACCTTAATTCTAAAGTTAGTGTTCACAAAGACTGGTCAAAATTCACTCAAAATATAAACCGCGAGATAATTAGAAATATTACAAATTGGATGAATATTATGGTACCAATCGTGCCATGATCACCTAGTCACTCACTACTATATTTGCAATATAAAAACAATGTTGGTAACGGTACATAACATTTAAAACAAAATAAATCTCATTTACAGTAAAATAAAAAATATACATAGTAGAATATCAAATTGGAAAATACATATTCAGTGAACTGAATACAACCACTTTGTGGTAAGAGTAAACAATTAGTTTAACCGCTTGTTAATAACATTTAACATATGAAATTATTTGTTACAAATCTATACACTACTAAAATTGATATCAGCGATTATTTCATAAAATCTTCATTTTGCCAAATAAAATTGATCCTACTACTGTCAGTGTACTAGTTGATACAAACTTTAGGAACTGATTAATTTCATTTGGTGAGATTATTACACAAACACCTATTTGAAAATTTTTTTATATTTTACAATACATTTTAATCGTATACAATTAGGTATGTGTCATAATCGAAGTGACTTAATACAATACTGAAATGATTTAGTCGAAATGACATCGCTAACAGAACAGATCTTTAAAACGTAATATAGAAGAATACAGACTCTCTAGCTGATTTACAGAGTGTGTGAAAATCTACTGACAAACTAAAGCGGCTATGCCGTTTCATGACATTTAACCGCTACAGCATAACTTAGCTAACTAACAGACTACTGGTAATTAATTAAAGGAAACGATAAGAATCATAAGGATATTTACATAGAATTTTATGAAGCATGGTGTTCTAACAAATAAATATTCTTATTATTTTGTCAGGTCAACTATTATAAAGAAAATCAACCACATGAGACTCCCCTTATAAGGTCTGCTTAAGTTATCGTTTTCAATTATATAAACGCTAACAGCGTTTCCATATCGTAAATCGGAACAATTAGTATGATGTAAGGAAATGGTATGTTTATATACAATTTAATGTGGTGCATATTAATGACTGTAATTGTAATTCATCACACAGTAAACGGACTAGATACAGCAAAAACTCAAAAGTAATCAGTCTTAGGGCATTAGACTGTTACAGATTATCTTGTGGTGGTCGGTATTCAAAATAATCCTTAAACTTCGTATACAGCTCGTCTTGTTTATCGTTCTATATAACGCCCCAACGGTATATTAATCAGAAGGCGAATACGAAACGTTGATTACGTTTATCACGAGACCACACACATCCAAATGTACAGATGCGTTAAACGAGCATAGAAGATTTGTGCCGAAATGCAAGCATGCGATCGAGCGAATATGAGTAAGCGAGTACAATCAAGCGAGCGAGAGCGAGACGAGGGAGAGTAATGAATATGAATGACATGGACATATATATACCTAGTGAAATGAATGAGTCATCGAATCAAATAAGCGGTTAGTAGTAAGACTAGTAGAGTGAATAAATGCGTAGGCAGTAAGCAATATTCAAGCATACGTATTTCATACAAGCACAAAATAATAAGGGTACAATAAATTGTTATAGTGCGGATGACTTTGTCCGCTAAATAAGTTAGCGAAAGAGCTTAACTGAGTTAAACGAGAATAAACTCAATTGCACGTGAGTCGCTATAATCTGCTATATTAGCATACTGTAATTTCACCAAATAAAAATACACCAAGTCAGTTTATTTTTGTAGGTGAAATATCTACATCTCAAATCTTATATACAGCTTTCCCACTATAAGAAATTACAGAATTTTAACTGATTTCCATAGATAGTTCGTGACTGATCTCTAGAAGTCATACAGAAAAGCCAGTGAACTTAGCCACGTCAAAAGTAACAGTTATCTCTGATGACAATAGTTACAGATCTCAATGCACAAGTTGACTGGGATTGAAGATGTGAATCGTTAGATTTCGCCTCAGTGATCGATAGGTATTGTCCATACTGAGACCGGAAAGTTCTGAGCATGATAACAGAGAGGGTTGCGGGTGTTTGTTCTTAACGAGTCCCAAAGTAGGGTTCGACAGAAGTTCAATGGTCAGCAGTTATTTAGTTAACAACTGACAGAAACCACATCTACGTAGTAGATCATATCAACATATGCACTGATTTCTGAGTTGGATTTATTTTTCGTATTCTCAGAAGTTTTATTGTGCAGATCCATCAATAAGGTGGATCTTAATATAGCTATTGGTCGATGCAGGCTACATAGTTGAGGTGGTCGTGATAGTCACAATCAATGATTCGAAGCTTTCGATGGTACAACTTACAATCGTTCACTTTATACCTTGAATTTGCGCATTTTTTTAATACATACTTTTCCATCGTCTTTTCGAATTATATTCTTCCTTAGTATCGCTGTTAATATTACTTCGACCTCTCTAGCTATTCGTCTTGTTATGTCAATATGGTAAGGTAACAACTTGGACCGATAAACATCTCTCCCAGGTTCTATGTCTCTCGGACATCCAATTATACCTATTTACTTAAATCTTAGTGTGAGTTTTAAAAATACATTATTTAGGTAATAAGAAAGCTACTCGTACAGTTCTCAAACTACAGACCAAGGTTTGCGAATCCATTTCAATCCACACTTTTCATTAATCTTCATATCTCCTACACAACACAAACGTTGACAGATAACCGTAATTTACAATTCATCATCCAACCTCTACACGACTGACTTCACACTCAAAGTTTTCTAGTATTCGTTTAGACAGTGTGACGGGATGCTATGGATCAAACAATCCCATCTGTTCTGTATGCCAGCTTCACTATTAACCCTTCAATAACCGGTAGCGATATGCTTTCATCAGATTTTGCCTATTCAATATATTTACATTAGTAAGATTTAAATACATTTAAGTAGCTATACAGTTCGTAGGCTTTCATATACAGTTGGCCTCGAAAGCGATACATCTAAATACCTGTTTTCTTCTAATAATGTGGTAATCATGTCACAAACTAATCACTAGATGATCATTAAGTGGATGATCGTTTACTAGTGCAAACATTTTGCCAGATATGGATTAGAATTCTCCAACTCCTTTAGTGAACAATTATCCTTATTATAAGCTGTTACAACAAATTAACCACAGGTTGCCACTAAAATTCTGGAAGTTCTATCAATAAAAAGAGTAACTAGCGAGTAATGGGCTTCAAAGATTTAATTTACATGGAAATAACTTATTGGAACCATTCATTAGGAGCTTCCTGGTCCTTTTACCACCAATTAGCTTAACTGATATCCTATTTTTAGCATTAAATCTCCCACAAATTCATGAATTTAATAGTCATAAACACAATTTCTCAAACTATTTCAAGTATATGCATTTGTAAAAGGATATATATATGAAACAAGCTTTAAAATAATAGGGAATGAAAGGCTATTGATTTCGGATCAACTATGAGTGAGAATGATCCAACTTGAATTTAGAAAGTTAGATTAATTTCAGTTCAATAGAATAACGACACTGTCTTGAAAATAAAAAGAATTCGTAAATGCGTAGTTATTTACAAGCATAACATTTTAACATGGATCAGTGACTTATTTTACCATCATTAATAATAGTAATAATCTACTGACTGCTTGATACACAATACAAAGGAACTAGAATACTAGTCATAAGCTAGAATTAGATTCAAACTTATGACCACTATACAAAAAGCATATATCTAATAGATAACTGTTTAAGTTAAAAGTTAGAGTAGTCTTTGTATGATATAATTAAGAAATATGAGCTTGTTCTATCATTGCTTCTGTAAACTGAGTTGTAGATGAACAACCACCGATATCAGAAGTTAATGCTTTCTTAGATTTAATAATTTTAAGTAAAGCTGTTTCAATTTTATTGGCATAACTTTCTAAATTGATATGACGTAATAAATTTGAGCTGGCTAATAGAATCGCTGTTGGATTAGCCATATTTTTGCCTGATGCCACATTGAATGAATGTCTAGTGCCCGGTTCAAAAACAGCAAACTAAGAAAACAACAAAGAGGAATAAGATTTTAAAATGAAATAAGTCACTGAAAATATTCGAATATTGTTAAACTCTAAGTTTTGAATTCATAATTAATATTATTCAAAGAAATCCACTAAAATACTACGCAGCATTGGCTTCATTTTCGAAATAATATAAAGAATATAAAATAAATATTGTAACTATTCTATTCTAATATTTGGATTCCTATTAACGATATATTTTACGCCCGTACAAAGTGAATTCCATATTCAATGGTTCAATAGGTAAACAAACAAATTGTAATGACTACTAACTAATATATTTATGTAAAACGTACAGTTCATTCGACGAACTATGAATACGCTGTCATGGCTCTTCTCCTATGAGCATACTTATCAATAAAGTCTAATAATAAATGTTAATCAATCAAATACCAAACCTTGAGTACATATAGCTGTTTTATTTGAGTAAATACGTTTTCTTGTATACGCACTATTTCACTTGTAGTTGAACTAAATCTTAATTTTACTCTACAAAAGTCACATACTCTACAAAATCCTTAGCAAATATAAACTGCTAGGTTTGAGCTCATAATAATAATCTTTACGTGCAATACACCTCCTTGGTCAACGAAATATCTTGATGGTTAAAAATAATTGAGCAGAACCCAAAGGGTTCAACTTTTATAAACATTAAAATCTATTCCACAGATACCAGATAAATTTAGGTTAACAAATTACAATCATGTTGCTGAATAAATTGTATACAAGTCCCAAAGTATGTGGGAATTCACTTTCAGAGTACCATATCATCACCATTTAAAAGTATAAAATATAGATGACGGCTTCGAAATATATTTCCAACTACCATAGTGACTAGCACCAGCAAATCACATAAAATGAATAAGTATTTGAAACTCAAACTAACTTCATGACTATATGATACACCCGGTACAACCCCAGCACCACCAACCAAACCAGCAGCAAGATTATCAACAATGTTACCATATAGGTTTGGCATAACCATCACATCAAATTGTTCAGGATTACTGACCAGTTGCATACAACAATTATCTATAATCATTGAATTAAACTGAATATGTGGATAAAGTTTGGCCATATTTTGGCAAGTTTCGAGAAATAAACCATCACTTAATTTCCTGAATAGAAAAATTAACAAAAGAATATTGAAAATACGGTAGCAATATATTTAATGGACTTTTGTTTAGATAAATACTGAAATTAAAAATACAAGTACGTTTAAAAATGTATATCACAAAGGTATGCTATCCACTAAACCCTGTTTGCCTCACTTTAGACTTCCATGTTTAATAACTGTAGAACCCTTCAGACCAACAGACTGAAACAGGTGAATCACTTAAGAAACCGCTACCTCGCCAGTGGAGCCCACCGTAAGATTTTAGCTGACAAGACAGTGTATATATATCCTTATGGTACACAATGACCTAAATAAATACATATGGTATTCTTTCTCTCATAATCCTTAAATCTGTTTGGACTACTAAATTGGATATTAGGTTTTATAAACCCTTTTGACGAAGTCTATGTGTTCTTGTGTCCGTTTTATCTAATTGTGAGGACTTAGAGTTAATAGTCCACCTTTTGTTTCGGTCGTCAGTATGAGCCTAGACTAGTGTCTGATAAAACAACTCTAGCTACCAGCTTGACTTATTGATAAGAAGAACTTGTCAGTCCCTGAATCAAAGTACTAAGGTAGTTGAACGTATCGACCGATTTACTTATCTTGTTACGAGTTCAGAAGGCTCTGTTGGCTTTTCCCAACTTGTATCACTTGTGGAGTAAGTAAAATGTCACTCTCTCAACCAAAGAATGAGTTTACTATGCAATAGTTCGCACCGTTCCACTTTATGGATATGGGACGTAGCTACTAAGAACAGAGGATAGTCGTAATTCACTAGTATTCGATCATAGATGCCTTCGAAATATTGGTCGTATATTTTGGGACCACTGAGGAAGCAATACCTGGATTAAGAATAGGGTATTACATAAGTGTAAAAAAGAGCAACAGACGGAGGAAATCTATACTTATTGTAAGAGGTTACAAAGCGTCTAGATAATACATATTCACAGCATTTTTCGGTGTTCTTTAGTCTCAACTATCTTCTCATTTGGTCTACGTGGGTTTCGCCTACGCCGTGCTTTCGCTGTACTGAAACTCTTCACTCCATCCGACAACATTGACGCTACCTTCCACAACATAATATTTACGAGCAATCTTGTGAGTAGCATCCACTACATAATGATAGCAAATCGATTGGTGACGTAGTATATCTTCATCAACTTAAGCGGTTGGGATATGAATTACATACGCCTAATCATTCCCTAACCTCGACGGAGGATGTTGTTTGGTGTAGCAGTAAACTGGAAGAAAAACAGGGGCAGCCAAACCGAAACATGGTATCCGTCCACGAAGTCAATGACAACTGGACTGAGCCGTACTAATAAATGTAAACTACCTGGTTGGGGTCTGCGTGACAAACGCAACCAGTAGTTAGAGACTTAGAAGGGCGTGGCTCAAAATTATTTGCAATCGCCCAAGTGCATCCAATCTTTGTATTCTCTCAAACTCTGAAATTTTAAATTCCTCATAACCTTTTTCACAAATTTATGTCTTCTTAAACTGTATCTTCGATGTCTAATCTTTTCTACTACCACTGAGATCGTTACTACCACTACCACTCTGGGATTTGGCGTATTAAGATACATCTTACAATTGTTCATAACGAGGAATAATAGTAATATATTTTAAAATATAACACTTATCACCTTATCTTTGTATATCGTTTACAAAAAATGAGGTATAAGTGCACGTTTTGAACACTGACCACTTAATACTGTCAAAACATTTGGAAGCAAATACATAAATATAAATGAAAACTTACATAATGTTAGCTTTATGAACAGCAGTAACTTTCCTACGCTTATTGCGGACAGCATAATCAAATGCAAATTTTGCAATTCGTTCAGAGTTACTTCGTGTTATAATTTTTAAGGACTCAATTACGCCCTTAACAGATTCATGTTCCAGTGACGAATATTCTCCTTCTATCTGTTCACGTATGATGACTAAATCAAGATTCTGATGAAAGCTTGGGATCCCTTTCAACGTACGAATGTGAACAACGTTGGCAAACAGATCCAAAGCTCGTCTACAACAAATAAACAAAACAATAAAAAGTACGATTTATCACCAAAGTAGACACTCTCAAAAAGAATGCTTTGTAAAAATGCATCAGCTATCATATGAAATGTACAAATATTTATGGATGAAACTGCAAATATTCAGAACATTTGAAAACACGAAAACATTTCCTTACTATTTCTTATTATCATGTGTAGTCAGTATAGACAACAAACCACCTTAAAACAATAAGTTTTTTTCCCAATAATTGCTTGGTGCAGAAGTTGAAGAGAAAAAAATTATTTTCACTTTCACATGTTACTTTTGCTTAATTAACTACTACCAAATGCCTGAAAAGCGACTTTTTAAATTAACACACAAATAGTGATTAAAGCGTCGTGTATTCTATTAAACTATGGTACTCGTGTGGAGTCACAATGAAAAGCTAAATGATAAGTATTTCCATAACTAGTTTGTGATTTTCCAAGATAAAAATGGAAATTTAAAACCAGCTGAAATGTTATTGTAAGTACTAAAATAACAAGAGTAGTAATAGCTATGATTATTCCCTGAAATATGGTGACATTTCATCAAATATTTAATCATTGATATTAAGTAACTAGATATTTTAGCAAACAACAAAAGCTAGACGGATTACTTGTGGAGCTTTCAGGGGTCACAATAACTCCAAAATTCTCATCCTGAGCTAAAAATATTATCCATCACCTCAAAATGACAATAGCATGCCTTACTGACGTTAATTAAACCTCAGGAACTTCACCAACAAAAAAGAACAAGTAACTTACGAATCGAAAACGACAAGTTTTGAAGGACCAGCAAATTTACCTTGGTGCTTGATGACAATGCAAATTTGGTATTTTTATTAAACTAACTACAAGGAATTCTTCAGAAATAATGAGTATCAGTAAGACAAGATTAAAATATATACTTGGTGCCAGAATTGACATAAAACTATCTACAGAAAAAAAATCAAATTGTATTACATAAATAATATATTCAAAAGTTACGAGAAAGCTTCCGCTAACTATCTTGAATTTAGTAAAATGATTCTCATAATGAACAAGTATGGAAGGAAACCACTTTATATACAGTTCCCATTTATTCAACAAATTCTCATACCAAGTAATCCAACAAATAGTCGAGTCTATACTTAAGGCATTTTTTAGTCTAAAAACGCTTTAAGAAATAAGACCAAATATTTTTCATCTTTTGGCTATCAGTACAGACAATTACTTTACATAAAATATGATAATGAAAAAAAACCTTATCGGCTCAGTCCAAAATAAACTATTGTCAAAATTTACTGTTCACAATAGAGGTACAAACTTCAATATTGTAAACACGGCAGAAAAACGGATAAATTGAAAAATATAGATCTTACTTGATCAGAAACAAAGACATACCTCATTCTTAGGTTAAGTGCACTAGATCCCTGAGTTTCGACAGGTGTACGGACAATTCCTTTTAAACCGACCTTGTTTTTAGTAACAGAGTTGACAGCATTATAGAGACCACCATTTGGATCTAAATTATTGTTAAATCTGGGGGAATCAAACAGGATACCAATCTATTTCTTACCCAAATTTCACCTCCTCAAACTGAACAGGTACATTGAATTCTTTGAAAACTGACTTTACACAAACGAAGAGTTCTGGCCACACCCCATCACCAGGTAGGAGAGTAACAGTCTTCTTTTCCTCAGCATTTGATGAAGTACCCTGAATTGTACAAGAAATTAGAAAAGCAATATAATGACGATGTCCAAAAAGACGAAGAATGCTTCACGACTAAACCGTCCAGTTTAAAGAACAAAACCACGCCAAAATTATCCACTCGAAGAACAAATACTATCGCCCATCTCAGAACTCTGGTTTTCAGCTCAAAACCCCTATTTTAAAAAGCTTTGGTACCTCTTCTTTTTTCGATTAGTTTTTCCAGTCTTGACCCTTTTTAAGTATTAAAGCCTACTGTTTTTGCTCTCATTGAATTCAGTTAAGAAATCTGGAATACCAGATTTTGTGATAGTTTTCATCTTGTACTCATTAATCTGATAGTTTAATTATAAATTGATGTATTTTCCCAACAAGTTTTAGTTCAATACAAGTTTTTATGACACAAATTAATATCTTTTGAGCGATGGTTACGAAAACGTGCTATCAACAACCGTGTTATTTTCCATGGGAAAAAGCTGCGTATACTATGGTAAGGCTAGAGGCTAGTACCCTAACTTTTGGACAGATTTCACATCCGAAGCCTTTAAAAGGTTTAGCAAGGCAGGATGCATTCGAATGTGCAAAACTGCTGCTCAAACACCTGTCGCATGTCACTTATAAGTGTTCCCAAGAAGTATATAGCTCAGACAAATAGAATCGAACCAAATAAAAATAAGACTGCAACGAGACTGCTTCCACTAATAAGCAAACTAACAGGACTGATAATCGGAGATACAAAAAGGTCCTAGTAATATGAATAATACAAAACTGCTCCCCATCCAACCATTACAAAAGACTGAATGGAAAGTAGTGAAATAGATGGAGAGCACTTGACGTCATTTATGAAAGGCTGTCTTACTTGTAGTTAAGAAACATAAGAGTGATCATAAAATCGAGGAGTAAGGATTTAAGTTCGAAAATTCGCTTCCAATAAGTGGGAGAAATTAGGATGACACAATAACTCATTTCCTCCTAAAGTTACCGGAATCACTATCCTTAAGATTTATAGGTTACGCAGTCGATCAACAGATTAAGGGTCAAACAGGACATAATTACGGAAGGTAATGTTCAAACCTGAATAAGAAAGATTTAATACTGAGAAATAAACAAACTACAATAAACTGGTGAGCATGTGCTTAAAGATATGTCACTTACCATAAGAATAAAGAGACCTGAACAAAAAAGGACTCAATTTGGGTTTAGAAGTGGCATAATAAATCCAATAGTAGTGGATTTCCAGGTAGCAAAAGGGGTTTATCAGTGAAAGAAGTCACTTCTGCTGGTCTTAAGCTAGCGCCTTCGATTCGTTTGACAGGACTGTTCTCTGGGACTGTCTATTGAAGAAGGGTATGTCTGAAAAGTTCGTTAACATCCTAAAGGCCCTATATACAAACACCCCAAAGAGAGTGAGGGCATATAATCACCTTTCTCCATTGTTCTATTCAAGCAGTGGGGTTAGAAAGGGTTGCCCAATCTCACCATTCCTCTTCAACTTTACCATCGATGACGTTCTGGAAACTGCTCTGATGGATGTAAGTAATGTCTATGTGAATCTGTTGCCTGGAGAAAGACTTCTCGACCTTGAGTGTGTCGATGATATTGCCTTACTGTGCGATAATACCCAAGCCATGCAGGTGATTAGCGTCCGTGGGTATGGTATGTGCTTTGCACCTTCGAAGTGCAAAGTACTTTTACAAGACTGATAGCATCCTGATCCTGCACTTACCCTGGGTAGTGAGCAGATGCAAGTAGCCGAGAAGTTCGTGTATCTAGGTGGCTGCATAAGTGCTGTTGGTGACGTGAGTAATGAGGTCAATGCACGAATAGTGAAAGCCAGAGAGGCTTATGCCAATCTGGGTCATCTTTGCCGCCTTCGTGATACCAGTCTGGCTGTAAAAGGTCGGATCTACAACGCGTCGGTGAGAGCAGTTTTGTTCTATGCATGTGAAACCTGGCCTCTCCGAGTTGAGGATGTTTGACCATCGCTGTCTCCGAAGGATTGCTGACATCAAGTGGCAACATCATGTTAGTAATGTAGAGGTTCGGCATCGTGTGTTCGGGTGTAGAGACGATAATCCAACTGGTGTCACTATCTTGAAACATCGATTTCGGTGGCTTGGACATGTTCTACGAATGTCGTCCCAGAGAATTCCACGTCGTGCATTATTTGCCAACGTTGGGACTGGTTGGGAAAAGCGGACATGTGGACAGAGCACGATATGGTGCGATGGCATGAAAGAAATATATACAGGGCTGGCTTCTGTTGGTCCCTCACGACTCTAGTTGAGGGTCTAAAGATAATGCAACACAATGACTTGAGACGTTATAAAACATGGTTCAGAATAGAAACCAGTGGCGATACTGTTGTAACTTTCTTGATAAAAGTAAAAGTAACTTCTTTGACTAAAAGAATTCTTTATGGTTAGTTTCATTTCATATGAACTGCTTTTCCCATCATTACTATTTCACTCTCATACGCTAATTTCTGTTTATTGTTCTTTTTTATGACATTACCTTTTTTATCTCTTTACAACCTCATTCTTATTGCGTGGTACATGAATATTTGGTTCCTCTCATTCTAATGTTTGTATTCGACGTAATGAAAATTTGAAAGAAAACGTTTAGTGCCAAACAATCATTACATACTAGAGACCAGTAGCTGCTGGAGGTTTTGGGACTCTTAAAAGGATACGTAGAGCATCCGCTCACTTGGAAATTAAGACACCGGAATCTCAGCCTTTTTATCTTAGAAACTGATAAGTTAGCCCATGACTCATCGATACGGTTGAAGAAAGTTGAGATGGTTACAGCTCTAATAGTTTACAAAACAACTAACTACTGACAAACTAAGCCGTTCCATCTTAAAAACGGCTTAAAACAGAACCATATATAACGTGATAGTCATTGATAACTACATGTGAAAAAAGACCAAAAACAATAGTGAACCGGTCAAAATACCATGATTTATTTTGCTACTAGGAAGAGATGCTTAAAACAATAACTTAGTACAACATCACAGTTACACATCTCCATGTTGAAGTAAAGAATATGCACGTGCCGGATTCCCAATGTTATAATGATAGTTAAGTAAGCAGAAAATGACATGTGAACTGAAACTGAGGAATCGTAGTGTTTAAGGAAACGTGGAGACGATGGTAACTTTAAGAAGCCAAAACTGTAGGTAAAACACAGCTGGTTAGCAAGTCATTGGAAAAGACGGTATCAGAAACAAAAACTCTAATGCGTGTCAAGACAGATCTCTCTGAGAGGTCAGTCACTTTTCGTAAGTCAAGAGAATCTTCCGATAAGGAACCAACGGCTAGATTTGAACACGACCTCAGTCATATTAATTCCTTAATAAGCAAACTATTCCCAGATACAGTTTCAGGAGTTAGTATTTATAAGCTTTATAGAATAGGACAAAAGGTGGATTCTGAAATTCCTCAGAAAAACCGCCTCTTGACGGTTATATTTGCCACGGTTGAAGAAAGGAACCTAATTCTAGACAACTCACGTAAACTGATTGGGTCCGGAATATACGTCCGTGAGGATCTAAGTCTAGCTGGCCGTATTAAGAGACGAGCTGCAGAAGTGGAAATAAATGAGCGTCGCCGAAACCGTGAAAGAAACCTCGTTCTGAAGGGTTTTCAAATTGTAAAAGTTCGGAGCAAAACGATCCCCAAACGACTCTGGGTGGTAAGGAAAAGTTTTCCACAGACTTGAAGGTATGCTACACAAATGGTTGCAGTCTACTAAAAAAATGGCGGGGCTCAAGTCAATGGTGGATAAAAAAACCGGATGTTATTGCTACCTCGGAAACTTGGTTAACGTCAGAAGTATTAGATAATGAAATTCAGTTGACTGGTTTTTTAACCAGTAGGGCTGATAGATTAAACTGTAGGGGAGACGGGGTTATCCTGTACACGAAAAGTACCCCAAGAGTACCCATAAGAGTAGCTGAGAAAGTGGCACGTGTTTCAGGGACATGTAAACTGGTGCGATGTAAGCTGAAATGTAGACGGCAAGTTATTGTATTAGTTGCAGTATATCCCAGTCTAGAATGTGTAGCAGATGATTTTCTCATAAGTAAACTTAAGTCCTGGTGTAACAAGAGTAAAAGCATTGTAGTAGGCGACTTTAATGCACCGTATATAAACTGGGTTTACTTAGAAGTAGGGTCATCGATAACGTCGTTCGATTGCAAACTGTTAGAAACCTCGATTGGATTGGTTTTATTCCAAAACATTAGAAACCCCACAAGATAAGACTTAAGAAACTCCTCTTCTCTTTTACATTTAGTCTTCACACACGGTGATGACGTTGGTCAAATGACTTTTTTCCCACCACTAGGGAGAGGTGACCATGCAGTCATCTTATTCAAATTCATTGCTGAGATTGCCTGTCAAAGAGTTGCGCCGGCCGGTCCTAATATATGGAAGGCAGATATGGAGGCAATCAACTCCACAGCATCGGCTGAAAACTGGGAAATTGACTCAAATGCATCAGTACAAGAGGCATGAACTCTTTACAGGCAGTTATACAATCGGGTAACGCAACAATACATACCCTGGACAGTTCCAAAGAAGAAGAAACACGGCCGTCCCTGGATAGGCCGGGATATTCAACGTTTATTAAGACAAAAGAAGAAATGTTGGAATGTTGCCATCCGCCTTGGCACAGCAGGTACGATGGAACGCTACAGAACGGTAAGAAACAAGTGTATAGCAAAAATTCGGGAAGCTCAAAGAAAATATGAAATGCAGTTGGCACAATCTGCACTCAAGCAACCCAAGAGAATATTCTCGTACATAAACTACAGAACAATGATGCATCATTGGATTCCCAACCTAATTAAAGAAGGGAGTGAATCTGAAATGACAGAGGAAGATCAGGAAGAAGCAGAGGCTATGGCTGACTATTTTGTGGCAGTTTTCACTCAGGAACCTCCTCTAAAGAAAGAACCAAACTCAAATACAGAGTCAACGAACCAGCTGCTCACCGTGGACCTCAACCAAAACGATGTGCTTAAGGCTCTTAGCACCCTAAACATGGAGAAGTCAACAGGACCAGATGAACTACACCCCAAAATCTTGAGACATATGGCCCAATATATCGCGGCCCCACTGACTGTGATATTCAATATGTCACTTGACCAAGGTGTGTTACCTATGGACTGGAAGGACGCAATCGTCACTCCCATACATAAAACAGGACCAAGACAAGATTCATAGAACTACAGAACTGCAAGCCTCACCAGTGTTGTGTTTAAAATATTGGAAAGAATAGTCAAACGCACCATAATGGCATTTACGGAAACCAATAACTTGCTAAACAAAGAACAACATGATTTTAGAAAGTGTCCATCTGGTACAACGAACGTCCTTATTGCAAGGGAGTTTTGGATAAACGCACTAGACAACGGAAACTCAGTGGATGTTGTCTACATACACTTCAGTAAGGCTTTTGACAAGTTGCCAACTAACAGAATGCCATAAAAATTGGAAAACCTTGGTACTGTCGGACATCTTTTAAAATGGATTAAGGATTTCCTAGGAGGTCGTAGACAGAATAAGAATAAATTCAAAGTGCTCCATCTGAAGACCAGTACTTAGTGGGGTACCTCAAGATTCCGTCCTAGGTCCTTTACTCTTTATAATGTATGTTAATGATCTTCCAAGTATAGTACAGTCTCCAATGTTGTTATAAGCTGACGGTGTAAAGATCTGGCGAGTAATAACTGGAGACAGACGCATGTGCTCTTCAGGCGGACTTAAATAATATGATTAACTGGTCTAAAGAGTGGCTGATGCCTATTACCCGTGGTCTGGTCTCATAAGGATCTAGGGGTGACAGTGAGTCATGTTCTTAAGATGACAACCCATTGCCTGGAGGTCGCAGCTTAGGGGTTTCCAACCCTCTGGGCTTTAAAACGGACATTCACTAAGTTATATACTACCATGTTCACCACAGTATACACATCCTTAGTGAGAAATAAGCTTGAGAACTGCGTTCAGGCTGCAAGTCCTTGTTTAAAAGATGGTCCAGATATCCTAGAAAAAGTACAGAAGGCAGTCGCTAGTGCAATTCCAGAACTCCGGGGTTTACCATACAAAGAGCGGCTTGAAAAGCTGGACCTTTTTACTCTGTCCTATCGCAGATTAGGAGAAGATCTAATTTTGATGTACAAAATACTGAGAAATGATTTCGGACCTAACTCATTCTCTCTTTTTCCTCCCACTAGATCGGGACATCTCAGAGGACAAAGCAGGAGAGTAGAAAAGCCAAGAACGAACAAAATACTCGTGGCATACAGGTTTTCACATCGAGTCATCAATACTTGGACCCTGCTGCCCGAAACAGTGGTGTCCGCACCTTCAATTGACTCTTTCAGGAGAAGACTAGACACTCCCAGAAGCATACTAGAAAAGGAATAACATAGGCCGTAGGCCTTCTGTCCTTACTACACAAATCTGAATCCCGAGCTTCCAATTTTTGGGGAAACTTCCGAAGTCAAATGGCCTTCCTAAAATTTCCCCAACATGTGCCAAATTTTCCCTAAGATTGGGAGCTCGTGATCTGACCATTAATTTGCCGATTTGGGGAAAATTTCGGGTTTTTTCCCAAAGTTTGGGGGAAAATTTTGAGGGTTTTGTGCCATTTCTTCAGAAATGCACCAAAGCTTTACAAAGCGGCTTTCCCGGAATTACACTTTCGGTGGCCCGTAGTCCTGCAGTCATTTAGATCGAACGATGTTGTCGAACGGGCTCACCATTTTTGTGGAGGCCCGTAGTTTGATTCTGTCTGCCTATAAATATTGAGTAACGCTTGACAAAAATGGAGTTGGCTTCCCAGCCATCTTCCCTGCGTGTCATTTTGCTTTGTTCTGTTTCATTCGCTTCATATACAAAATATATGTATTCACAAGTCAATTCTCGTTATTCGACTTATTTAATTCCGTTATTGACTAACGCGATTCAAGCGGACGATGATATACGAGAATAGGCGATAGCAAACATCCATATGATCTAAATAGGAGTCAGATCCACGGGCCACAAAAATGGGTCGTCGTTTTTATTTCCTTTTGAGTTATCTCGATTCTTACTCCCCCGAGAACTAGAGCGAGGTCTTGTAGATGTGAAATTGGAGATTAATAATTTTAATGCATTTAGTTTATTTTCAAGACTGGCAACAGCTCGTTCGTGATGTGCTCGTAGTTCGCCTAACTCAGCAGTTAACGATGCTGTGGTAGGAGTTTTCTTGTCGTTCGAAGTTTCTGATATTGTCTGTACGTAAGGTGTAGTACAGGGTGTAATTTCTAGAATTTTATCAGCCATGCTAGCAAGACTTTCTAAATCTAATGGTTGGCTAAAAGCGCAAAGAATTTGCCTAACTACTGTTGGCAAACGTTGTAGCCAAATCTCCTTGAGGAAAGCATCATCAAATTTATAAGGGCCGGTCAATTGTCTCATGTGGCGTAATAATTGAGACGGTGACTTGTCGCCTAGCTCACATTCGTGCAGTAATTGTTGTAATCTCTTTTCATCCGATAATGAGGTACGTTGGATAATTACCTGCTTCAATTGATCATATGGATTAGATGCAGGTAATTATCCAACGTACCTCATTATCGGATGAAAAGAGATTACAACAATTACTGCACGAATGTGAGCTAGGCGACAAGTCACCGTCCTTGAGGAAAGCATCATCAAATTTATAAGGGCCGGTCAATTGTCTCATGTGGCGTAATAATTGAGACGGTGACTTGTCGCCTAGCTCACATTCGTGCAGTAATTGTTGTAATCTCTTTTCATCCGATAATGAGGTACGTTGGATAATTACCTGCTTCAATTGATCATATGGATTAGATGCAGGTAATTATCCAACGTACCTCATTATCGGATGAAAAGAGATTACAACAATTACTGCACGAATGTGAGCTAGGCGACAAGTCACCGTCCTTGAGGAAAGCATCATCAAATTTATAAGGGCCGGTCAATTGTCTCATGTGGCGTAATAATTGAGACGGTGACTTGTCGCCTAGCTCACATTCGTGCAGTAATTGTTGTAATCTCTTTTCATCCGATAATGAGGTACGTTGGATAATTACCTGCATCTAATCCATATGATCAATTGAAGCAGGTAATTATCCAACGTACCTCATTATCGGATGAAAAGAGATTACAACAATTACTGCACGAATGTGAGCTAGGCGACAAGTCACCGTCTCAATTATTACGCCACATGAGACAATTGACCGGCCCTTATAAATTTGATGATGCTTTCCTCAAGGAGATTTGGCTACAACGTTTGCCAACAGTAGTTAGGCAAATTCTTTGCGCTTTTAGCCAACCATTAGATTTAGAAAGTCTTGCTAGCATGGCTGATAAAATTCTAGAAATTACACCCTGTACTACACCTTACGTACAGACAATATCAGAAACTTCGAACGACAAGAAAACTCCTACCACAGCATCGTTAACTGCTGAGTTAGGCGAACTACGAGCACATCACGAACGAGCTGTTGCCAGTCTTGAAAATAAACTAAATGCATTAAAATTATTAATCTCCAATTTCACATCTACAAGACCTCGCTCTAGTTCTCGGGGGAGTAAGAATCGAGATAACTCAAAAGGAAATAAAAACGACGACCCATTTTTGTGGCCCGTGGATCTGACTCCTATTTAGATCATATGGATGTTTGCTATCGCCTATTCTCGTATATCATCGTCCGCTTGAATCGCGTTAGTCAATAACGGAATTAAATAAGTCGAATAACGAGAATTGACTTGTGAATACATATATTTTGTATATGAAGCGAATGAAACAGAACAAAGCAAAATGACACGCAGGGAAGATGGCTGGGAAGCCAACTCCATTTTTGTCAAGCGTTACTCAATATTTATAGGCAGACAAAATAAACTACAGACATGTTGTGAGTCATGGAATATGATGTGTACACACATATACGCTGATATAAAAAGTCTAGATTGATAAGCGAATAATTAACAAGGTCAAAATATGACTCAATTAGAATGAATAGGATGGAATGTCCGAAAGCTAGAATGAGATATATGGGCCTAAAATAATGACTGACACTACACACTAAAACAGAAAAAATTTCCCCAAAATAGGCGATTCGATCGTTACAGTTGCCGTGACCTGCGGTATGCCAACAGACAGGAATAAAATATATGAGGAATAAATCTGACCGCATATGTAAACTTATAAGTTTATATATTAATATTTGGAAAAACTGTAAGATTGGGTCATTGTTAAGTAATACAGTACTAAATGCCACTTACGAGATGAAACTGCTTAGCATGTTTAGTGAGAGACACAAATCCTGTTTTGTTAGCCTAGAATAGTGTCATTAAACTACAGTCCAACTACCAAGATTGTTGAGGTCAAACCCCGGAATAGCATCACTAGTCAATTTATGAAAAGCGAGAATTAGGTTATGACCTTGACCCGAATACCCTTCAACGTTTTAAGAAACGCGGAAATGCAAATATGTACGATGAGTTCACATGGAAGCATAGGAGATTCGCTTAATGTATGTGGACTTGTCACCAAAGTATACTAGTAGATTGTTAATGGTGACTTCGAAATATTTCACCTATGAGACTTTTTCAGATTTGTGTAGTAAGGACAGAAGGCCTACGGCCTATGTTATTCCTTTTCTAGTATGCTTCTGGGAGTGTCTAGTCTTCTCCTGAAAGAGTCAATTGAAGGTGCGGACACCACTGTTTCGGGCAGCAGGGTCCAAGTATTGATGACTCGATGTGAAAACCTGTATGCCACGAGTATTTTGTTCGTTCTTGGCTTTTCTACTCTCCTGCTTTGTCCTCTGAGATGTCCCGATCTAGTGGGAGGAAAAAGAGAGAATGAGTTAGGTCCGAAATCATTTCTCAGTATTTTGTACATCAAAATTAGATCTTCTCCTAATCTGCGATAGGACAGAGTAAAAAGGTCCAGCTTTTCAAGCCGCTCTTTGTATGGTAAACCCCGGAGTTCTGGAATTGCACTAGCGACTGCCTTCTGTACTTTTTCTAGGATATCTGGACCATCTTTTAAACAAGGACTTGCAGCCTGAACGCAGTTCTCAAGCTTATTTCTCACTAAGGATGTGTATACTGTGGTGAACATGGTAGTATATAACTTAGTGAATGTCCGTTTTAAAGCCCAGAGGGTTGGAAACCCCTAAGCTGCGACCTCCAGGCAATGGGTTGTCATCTTAAGAACATGACTCACTGTCACCCCTAGATCCTTATGAGACCAGACCACGGGTAATAGGCATCAGCCACTCTTTAGACCAGTTAATCATATTATTTAAGTCCGCCTGAAGAGCACATGCGTCTGTCTCCAGTTATTACTCGCCAGATCTTTACACCGTCAGCTTATAACAACATTGGAGACTGTACTATACTTGGAAGATCATTAACATACATTATAAAGAGTAAAGGACCTAGGACGGAATCTTGAGGTACCCCACTAAGTACTGATCTTCAGATGGAGCACTTTGAATTTATTCTTACTTTCCTTCTACGACTTACTTTTCAACAATATCTTTAAAAGTCTGTGTTTTTTCTTGTGTTTGGCTTGATTTCCTGTCTTTGATGTTTTCAACTCGCCGAATCCATATTTTGAGTTCTATGCTCTTCGATTTTCATACTAAGCACGGAAGGATTATGGTCACTTAATGGTAGTTGAGAAGTTTATGTCTCATTGAAGTCAATAATCTATAACCGTTAGGCCCTTGTTGGTCGGTTTAACATATAAGGGTAGAATGTTTGTGTGGTACCTCGAATTTCACTTTTAGTACAGCTGGTACACTGGATAATATAGGCCCATACAAAATTGGTGATCAAATATTGTCTCCTGAAGTGATTTGAAGACAAACAATGAAGAAGCCAATAATGGTTGGGAGGCATGAAGTAGAAATGTTACTCATGGTTTCGAAACTATGTATCTATCATAAATTTATTGGTGGTGTTGAATGGTGAGGAAGTGGGATGAGCTATCTAGTGTCTTGGGCAAATTAAATGAGGTGCTAACCTAGGATGGACATTACCTAAAAACCAGTAAAACAATATGCGAAAGAGGTTTTAAAAATGACAGCAGCACTAGGATTATGAATATCAGTTTAAATGAAGACACTGGGGCATGGATTGGCAACTGATTACGTTTCAATCCTTTGTTTCATGCATCCTTTTTGATGACTAATCTGACTATAATTTGCACATCACATCCACTCGGTGTACAACAAAATAGATTTTCCCCGATAACAATCCCTGCCTTTTTCTTTAGTTGAATTCCTAAATGTTTCGTCAGAAGAGACTCAGATACCAGTGTTGTTGAATTTTCCCGTGTTTGAGTCCTCTTGATCATATTCACGCGATCGCATACCTAGAATCGACAAACTCAATTTATTAGGCCATAAGTTTGAACACTTGGTGCTACAGAATGATTATTTTGAGGATCCCCTTAAAATGCACCGTTTGACAATATTGTCACTTCCTGAATTATTTTCGTTTTGTATGAACACTTCTATCAGTGAGTTGTGTAACCATGTTCTCAAAGTTTATAGTCTTCTCTGATTAAACTCCCTTTATATGACTTTGATTAGGATCAGCCATCATAATTTAATTTCATTTTTATATGATACCAGACTTTTGACAATGTGGTATAATTAGACTGAACTCAAGACTGCAGAGTTGGGCAGTTGATTAGTAATCTCACTCAACAGTTTACTGAAAAGACTTGTTATTTTAGTGGTTTCTTACAAAAAGGGATTTGACCTAACATTGTTTGAAATACACTTTGTATTGTTTTGCTTTTACCTTCCCATTGAGGCTTAAGCTTTTATGAGCAAAGTGAATTTAAGTTCACCTCATTGCACAAGCAAGTGACTATCAGGACTCAGTGGCTGAGGGGATAACGGGATGGCGTTTGAAACGAATGGTACTGGGTTCGAGTCCTTGAGTGAACATCAACTCTGAGACGCAGGTTCATCCAGCTGAAGAGTTCTAAATAGGACGAAACGCTCGTCCTGGATTCCACTGCTACCCATTATCTATCTTTACTTATTGTTAGAAATAGTCCTGATGATTCTCGGGTACTTGACAGACGTATTTATGTATCACTATTTGGTGTCCAGTAAATTACGTTGTGCTAGAATGTCTTTTCACTGTATAGTGGTCAATGAGCAGTGCAAAAGCATGTTATGTTTTGGGATAATCTGTTCTTATTAACTTGATAACGTAAATATAATATGCATATAATACGTGTTTTCGTTTTATCGTTGATTACAATCATTCAAAGAAGCTTCATATCCTGTCCAGAACCATACAAGGAAGAACACAGATATTTTGCTTAACTGAATAAATATTGTTTTCGATGGATGTTTCTACCTTCATACCAATTATTTGAATTTTGAGCGACACAATCAATCCATTCTTATTTAACTACACGGAATTGGAGTTAACAGATCCAGAGGTGACCAAAACCATAGTATTTAGTCACAGAACCCGAAGTCAGAGGCTTGTATTGTCTGAGACGGACGAATCTCATAGTCTAGTCCGCAATACCTCTTTTGACCGAAAGAAAAAGTGTTTGGGTCTCTAGATAATGTTCCTTATATCTGAAGTGAAAAACGGGTTATTGATTGTGTGGTACATCTTGGTCATTACCTCCAGTTCACATATCCAAAAAGTAAAACGTTGTTCTCTCAGCAGACGTACCGACTGCTTTTACGCGCATAATATAAGGATCTCATTCAGAAGATTCTCAAACTCACCTCTATGCTCCACTTTATGTGAGGTTATGAATCATCCGAAATGGATAGACAAGTAAATGCTAACGTGACCAGAAAACAGAAAATGTATTTAGAACAAATCCCTAACTACTCGTCGAGCAATGACTGAGTAAAAACACACCTAAGTTCGAAATCTGAGTTCACTGGACATCACAAAGTTTTGTGTTGCATATGAGAATAAAGAATGATTCAAATAAAAACAGGCGCTAGATAAAGTGACGCGATTCCTTACATCATTATATCAGGTGAAAAGTCGGAAAGGTTGATAGGTGTTGACTCAGCAAAGGACAAAACTTTCTAGACAATGAAGGTTGAACGTCATATGGCTGTACTCCTCAGAAACTGGCTCCTGCTGTGAAAAGAATGGTCTCTCACTGGTTGAGTCACTAAAAATCTTCAAAGTCGGTTTTGTCTTTTTTATCATCACAGAAGGCTGTGCAAATGGTTTGAAGCCCTTGAACTGAATTCTATCGAAATCGAGGATAATTAAGATGATTCAATTAATTGACGCCGTCGAAATGGTTCACTTTGTACATGCTACAGTAGCATTCTCTTTATATCCAAATGTAAATATCCCTGATAACATTTCTGCTTACCAAAGTTGTCGGCGAACTTAAACACCCCACTCATTAGATTAGGCTAGGACAGGGATGGAAATCATTGAGGTTTACGACGTCAATGTAAGCTGAAGTGAATTTGGAAGCCATTTTGTGCCAAATAACTCTAGCGAATTCAGATTGTTGATTATATGACATAAGAAAGCACTATAAAGATGTCACAGATATTCAGGATTTGGCAGCGCCTAAATCTGTGACATTAAAAGTTGGGGAAACCCAAACCCCGCCAAACCGGTATGCAGGAATGGAGGAGTACGAAGACAATACAGGTCTTATTAATATTTGCAATCATATGTGAGGAGTAATATACCTTTATGATCAATATACCCCAAAAAATATCAAACAAACTGAGTAACCAACCATAATGAAGGCTGTATCTTCTGTAACACTTTGATCTTACATGTAAATCGGCATGCCTCATGTAACAAACTGTTATTTGAGAATAAATCATGATTATTATGACTATTATTATATTCGGAAGATATTCGATATATCCATGGGTTTTTGCCTCAAGCTGGCTGGTCGTTTTCAAGGTCACGTAGCATGGCAGGCCTATGTTGATTTATGGAGTTTGTGGTAAAAAAAGAAGACAGGTGGTATTAATACACTTGAAAAGGAATATCTCTACTGCCTCTTCTGGATACTTATTATCAAACTCATTGGCACATCTTTTAATATTATCGGGCTCATCGTAGTTGATGACACGGGTAATTTTCCGAAAAACTTAGTTCTTTATCTACTGCAATTGTGACGATCTTTACACCACTACAAAGAACTTTAACTTTTAGCTGCTTTCAACGCCTTCTTATTCATGTCTGTTTGAGCATGATGATGTCACAGGTATTCGGTGTTTGACAACGCCTAAACCAGTAACACCTAATATATTTCGTTCCCACCCAGGGAAATCAAAGGACAGGGTCGAGGAGATCGGAGGAGTATATTTGGCGATGACCAATATATCGGAATTCTCTGATCTAATCTGGCTAGCGATTGCGGTTGATGTTGAGCACGGCGTTACCACACGTGATCTGGTGCGGATGCCTGACTGAGCGC